AAAAAAAAAAAAAAAAAAAAAAAAAAAAAGACCAAAATCAACATAAAGGTTGGTATTTTTTTTAGTTTTCCATTCGGTGTCCGGTATCCATATTGGAGCCCGACTATATTCGGATTCACACCGCGTAGGACCCAATTTGGTGGAAAGCGCTCCCTACCAAGAATTTTTCCATACCCAGAGCTCAAACCCGAGACCTCCGGTTAAGGGAGAAGCAGTCTCATCCACGTAAAGGTTGGTATTGACAAAAGCTAACAACAAATTTCTCCACCAAAAAAAAAACATTTTCAAAACTAATTCAAATACACAATTTTCCAGAATTACTTTTTAAAACTTTTAAGTTAAATTAAATATAATTTTCCAAAACTTTAATTATACCCAAACTAAATCCGAATGCCACCATATTGATAAACACTTTTCTTTATTTTTATACAATATATTTTATTCTCTTCTAAACATATTACCTATTGGTATCATTTTGTGTCTATATTCGTTTATGTGACTATGCGATCCAATTATCAAGAAGAAAGCTACCCTCTATGTTTAAAGAATAGATAAATATAAAGATAAATTGGGCAAATGATTGAGATAATTATGCATACAAGTAAATCACAACTAAGTAGATAATGACACTTTACTTAACTTGAGAAAATGACTACCAAAATTTCCATTCTTTGGTGGATTTTAGGTACATCTTCACACGACAGGAAAAAGAAATGGTCCCTTCCATTCGCATATATTTCATATGAATTTTAAGTTAAAGAATTTTTGCAATATTATATGTTGTACCGGGTAATTTATTTTATTTTTGAGTTTACGAATTTCACATTTTAAAGAGATTTATTTGTAGGGTTTATCGAATATCTGAATGGAAAAACAAAAAGAAATTTATTTGCAAATGTTTTTTGAATGACTTAATAATATATAAAAAATTATACACTAACAATGTAGTCCCTTCGGTCCATTTTACTTGATTTTTTGGTATTTTTCTTGTAGTCTACACTATTTGATTTTTTCAAATATTAAGAAGAAATTAATTTCTTTTTTCTAAAATTGTCTAAGGAGTAAAGAGCCTATGAATATTTGTTATATTTTCAATGAATAAGTTAAGGCCAATATGATCATTTTTATTACAATTAATAATAAAAAAAGTGGACCGGGAGTTGTCCACACGGGCAACGCGGGTTCGATCCCCCCTCAATGCTTTGTGGGTCTGAGCCTGTCGCACGGGGCTTGCGTAGTGCGGTTTATATCCCTGTGTGGTTTGCAGGCTATTACATAGTGAGGGTTTATCCAGTGCGCACAGCCGAAACTGTAGCGGTTGCGGGTTTTTCTGGGGTTCTAAAAAAATAATAAAAAAAGTGATTTTTTTTAATATATATAAAATTAATTAAGTGGACCGGAGAGAGTATATATATAAATTAGGTGCAGGTGGATATATGTAACTTGACGTCTCTTCATCAATCTTTAAGAAAAGAGGAAGAAGCATATTCCCTTGACAATTACATTTTCCATAAATATGCTAAATTCTTTATTGCTGGGCTGAAGTTTGTTTTTGGAAACTGGAATTAGAAATGTTAGGTGTTATATAGTTGTAAACTTTTGTTCGGTTCTCAAAACTTTTTTCTCTTTTAATTTTTAAATGAAACTAACTCAATTGTATTTCAATTGTATTTTATTAAAAAATATCCACACAAAAAGAGGAAGGGCTTTTCTTAAAAAAAGAGTACTAACTTTTTAGGAAAAAACTTATATTCGGGCGTGAAGGAAATTATTAATACTTTTATTTGGGCAAGCTGTCTATATCATATCCTAAAAGTGTTGCTTTTCCTGAAATTCTATGAATACAAGATACTTTATATACCGAAGTATCATGTCATTATCTGCCCAAGTTGGCTTAGTTAATTTATGATATCTTAAATCATAAATTAATACTTTAAATCCATATCCTGATACTACACAAAAATTTCACTAGACCAATGTTATTTAACCTGTTCTATCAAGACTTTTCATGTAAAATTTCCTCGATTTTCTTTTTAGATAATCTAATTACATAAATATTCTCATAACGCGTACACAAAACTTGGACTCAATTTTTTTTTTTTTTAAAACTAAGACCTTAACCCTAAAATCTCGACTAGAGTTGATAACAGCAGAGCCTACACGTGAATTATGACTCATTTTTCGCTGTTCATGCACACTAATGCATTATACTTATACCATTACCAACAGACATACACCTACAGTATATCTGTATTTGTAATAAATAATAATTTTTAAATAAAATTATATTATTATAGTAATAATTTCCTTCTAGGAACCTTCCCTTTTTTTTCTTCTCCTCCTCTTATATATTTCTTCTTCACAGTCTCTTCTCTATTCACTTTTGAGCCAAAAAAATCTCTCTTTCTTCCTTAGTAAAATCACAAAAGAGAAAAACAAAAGCTTTGCAAAAATGGCCTCTTATTTCAAAGTTATGCTTTTCTTAGCCTTTTTTGCTGCTTCATGTTTAGCTCAATCTCCAGCTCCTGCACCTAAAATTTCTCCGGCAGCAACACCTACTCCGGTGCCGGCGCCAGCAGTGTCTCCGCCAACAGCAACCCCATCTCCGGCACCTACAACTTCACCAACTCCATCTCCATCTGCTTCTACAACTTCTCCATCACCAGCTCCGGCCGGTGGTCTTGCCGGTTCTCCTCCCTCGCCTACTCCGGCCGGTGGACCCGGCGCATCACCGGCGGAACAGCCCACCGCCGACAACACACCGCCACCAAACGCCGCTAACAAGGCCGTCATTGGCGGTGCTGCATTTGCTGGCGTACTCATTGCTGCTGCTTTCATGTAGATTTGCCACGTGTCATCACACGTGTCTTGACGGACCGAGATTTGTTTTGTACCTTTGTTGGGGTTGAGTAGTACTTATCTCTTGATCTCTTCTTTTGTTTTTTGGTCTTTTATTTTGTTTATTTTACTTTATATTTTTGTCATTTATTTGTTTGGTACATTGTGGTGTTTTTATTTCTTTGTTCATTTTTTTATTAGGGTGAGTCATTCATATTTGGGGGTGTGATGATTCTTTTGCTTTAACAGGCTTATTTATTTGTATGGAGTCATCATCCCATGTATATTCAAGTAAAAATAAATTTGAGTTTATATTCTTTTTGTTATGTATTGATTACTTATCTTCCATCTGTAAGTGCTTAAAATTTCTCTTTTACTTAGTGAATTAATTTAAACCTAAAATATAAGGGTAAGTTAATCTTTGATCTTAAGAAAGAATATTAGGGAGGATTATATGTTTCTATACAATTGCATGTTGGGAGAATTTAAAAGGACTATGTTTTTGAGTAATTTTAATCGAATTTGTGAAAAATTTATGTAACTTTTTATGTAGCAAGGTATGCCAGGTCATTTATTTAATTTTAGAAACATTCTTCTATTCTTTAAGAAATTATCCTACAACCTTGTAAAGTTTAACAAATTCTTTAAAATATAGCAGGGTTTTCAAGAAAATAAAGATGAAATTCCTACTCCCTCGAGCTTTTTTTACCGAAACTAAAAGATAATTATGAAGATTTGTACTTTGATAATTTGGCAATAACATTATGCTAATCTCTTTATGTTAAGGCCACGCAAAGAGCGGAATTATAATATTATGTACGGATTCAGACATATTAATGGTGTTTTTCGATTATTTTGATTTTTTTAATAGAGTTTTATTTAATTTTTCTCAAATAATTGTATTTTCTTCACTAGAAATGAAGATAATCATAATTTAGGGGGTAATTAGGGTCAATCGTAGACTTTGGGATGGGTGGAAGCCAGATGTTAACAAACCTCGCACATGAAGCGCCGATGATTGCTAAAACATATTTAAAGGCTTTTGTTTGTTTCCTAATAAATTAATGCAAGTTGGTGTTTTTAGTGGGATGTCATTTCAAAAGAAGATTATAAAAAATAGTCTTGAATCTTACAAGTCCATTTTTATTAGTAATAATTAGTTTAGTAAATTATGAAAAAAGGGTACTCGTTTGCTTCGTTGTTTGTTTCTTATTGAACAAAAGTTGGTTACACTAAATTATTGCTCGGAAAGAGAGAGGAAGGTTAAAACGTACATGTTTGATGAAATGATGCGAACATTTTTTATTTAAAAAAAAAGAAGAAAAATGATAGAAATTTACAACTGATGGTGTACAAATATTTTATCAGCTCCTAAAGTTTCAACGTCATCCTTCATAAAAAAATCTTTCTATATATTCGGTCCAAACAACTTTGCTAGTAAGAAAGATTATTAAGTTTGAGAGAGTGTCAAGAAAATGGACATTGAACTCAGAGGCGGAGCCAGAATTTTATCAAGGGGTGTTAAGGTATAAAAAATAGATACGTTGAAAGTTTAAGGGAGTTAACGTATAGTAAATATAAATAAAATAGAAAAATCTATCTAGTAATATAATGTAATTTTCTGATAAAGAGGTGTCGCTAATTGAACTGATTCAAGCTCAAAAGTTAGGTTACAAAATGAGCATTTCTAGAATTATATAAGGAGACAGTAATTTTGTTTGACCAAAAAATATAAACTTTTGGTTAAACTATTAAATTTTATGTAACGACGGGTTAAACTTAGTTAATGATAATATCTCTAGATATAGAACTTGACAGCATGGATAACATAAGATAAAACCAGTGGGAGATTGAAAGTAATGCACATTTAATATTCCAAAAGGTGTGAGCAATAATGGAGGAATAACTAGCAATAAATAGCAATAAATGACATTTATGTAAATAAGGAGAATGATTCACCCAATAATGAACGTGATAGATGATTATTCCCCCTGACAATGATAAATGACAGACAAATCCTAGAATGTTTGAACTATTCTCAGATCTGATGGAAAATTATGGAATAATGTGAGTAAGAATATTTATGAAAAGGTAAAGTTTGTATCTTTGTTAGAGAGAGAATCTTCTTCTCAAAAAGTGTTACTTGTCAAGTGAATATTACTTCCTTACACCATTGTCTCTTTTTCTATTTATACGAGACATGTCCCCAACAAACCCTAATAGTATAAGTGCAAAGAATATTAAATAGAATATTCTCTTTAATATCATATTACAAAAACTGGCCGTTATTGTTCTATCCTTGGTGCTCGACCTCGATCGTTGTTGATAGTCCGGCCACAAATCTCACTGATTCCTGGTCGACCTCGACCGACCTTTTCCTTAATGTCGTTTTATGCTAAATTTCTTTAGGGCAGATTTTGGTCTATACAGTTAGTCTCTCCGCTTATTGAGGCCAACCCCGAACGGCCTTGATAAGCGGACCCTGTTCGTCGTGGTCGGGAAGTTTGGACGAGCAAGTCGAGTAGTGGCGTTTCAGAAGAGGTGACAATGTGACCTTTCGTGAGCCGCAACCTTTGGGGTCACATCGATTCAGAATGACATCATGACATCATGCGTCATTATGGCGCATTTTCCCGATGCCTTGTGTCGTTTCCTGTGTCTCTACCATTTTGATACCTGCGTTGGGTAATGACAATTTGATTTCTCGATCCTGATGCTTGAACTCTTATAAATAGGGATATAAAACCATTCGTTTATGTTTTGCACTCTTAATATTGAATCTCTGTATCTTCTTCTCCATTCTTCATATATAGTTCTTGTCTTCTCTTTGCTTCACTATTGTGTATCTGCTTTTCCTAATTCCGGTGATACCAGCTGCTCACAACCTTTCTGCACTTACAACATCCTCTCTAAAAAAATGGTTAACGTATCCTCTAGTTATGGCATGGCAACTGACCCTATCCCTTTGGCGGTGTGTATGCCTCCTCATGATGATAATGTTTCTGGTGCCATTGAAAATGAAAATTTTTCTATGGTGGAGGAGATAATACCTCATAGTGAAAAAGTTAGTTCCGACTTTTCAAAAGCGCTTGAGGACGTCCCTGAGATCTCGAAGTCAGTGATGAAAGAGGCCGATCCCACTGAGCTTAGGGCAAAGATCAAAATTCCTTCCCATATCGATCTGATCCCAGCAGAGTGTGATGTGGTACAAATACACCGCCTGAGTATTGTGCTTTCTATGCGTACCATTTCTACGTCGGCTATTCCTTTCCTATTCTCCCATTGGCGGAGGAATTTTGTTGCTATTATGGTATTTGCCCGGTCCAACTTTCTCCATATATCTACAAGCTTATTTGCATGCTTACGAAATATGCGGAGTTGGCTAGGGTCAGGGTATCACTTCGCCACCTGATGTATCTCTTCGCCCCTAGTTTCCATAGGAGGGCGATGTTGCACCTTCGCCACTGAGGAAGTAAATGTTTGGTGGTGAAGATGGGCGATAAGGAAAATCGTCAGTTTTGGCTCAACTACTTTTTCATCAAAATCGAGGACGTGTTGGCCAACGCGAGCGGGTTCCCTGAGGCTTGGAATTATGCTCGTAAGTATCTATTTCATTTTTCCTTATCAAGTGTTTGTTTTGCCAGTTTTAGTCGTGTTTTGACATTCTGTTCCTTCTTCGTACAACCGAGACTGTGCCCCCTCCTTTCGTCGGGGACATTCATGACTGGATTAGCTAGGTTCTGCCTTACACAGTGAGGATTCGTGAATGGCCGGTCTTTCTCGAGAAACTCGGTCTTGCCTCTTCTGCGACTAGTGAGTGTGAGCACGTGATTTTTGCCCTATATGAGAATTACTCCCAAAAAAAATTCAAAATAAAACAATTTTCCTTTGTGTGCAATTTTTGAATTTTTGTGGCATTTTTTTGGATAATTATTTGTATTTTTGTCTGTGCATGTTTATTTATTATATTAATAAAAAAATATAAAAATATGTCGCATTTGCATTTAATATTTAATTCTACAGTTAGGATTAATTAAGTTTGTTTTACAAAATGAAAAAATCATAAAAATATGTATTTTGCATTTTTAACATTTAACGTCCAAATTGTGTGATTTTATCGTTAATTGCTATTTAATTGTGTGTTAATTGTTATTAGGAGCTAATTAGTATTTTTAGATAATTTTGGGTTTTATAATTTAATCTTAACATTTTAGCTTTATTAATTAGGAAATTGAATAAATAGAAAAGAAAAAAAATATAAGAAGACCGGATTGGGCCTTTTCTTCAATTTTAAACCACAGGCCCAAAGATACCCAATCTTCCCCTACGACCCGGTCCATTTCGACCCGGGTCGACCCAGTCCATAACCCCAAAGACCCAACACCCCTATTTCCCTATCTTTCATTTCAAAACAAAACCCTAAACCTAACTGTTGAAAAACTACCCGCCCCCCTTCTTTTCTTCTTCTTCCTCGACTCACCCCAACGACCTCCGAACTCCCCTCCAATGGCTNCGTCGACCACCCTCCAGTCCACCAGCCTCCTCCTCACGACCAGTTGTTGCCGCTGCTTCGTCTTCTTCTCCGTCCAAACGAACCCTATCAACGACCCTTGCCATGGCTGCCCTTTCTCCTGCAACGAACAACCATGAACACCTCAACAACCACCATCGTTGTGTCTGCTCCCTCACGTCCAAACGACCCCCACCCACGCTGGAAAAACCAGTGTTGCTGCCCGTCTTTACCAGCTGCTATAACAGCAGTGACGAACACACACACACAGTCGCCATGGCTGTTGCTGCTGCTGCTTCGTCCAGCTTCGACCATGGCTGCCCTCCGCCATTTCCATCACCCCATCGTCTAATAACTCCACCAGCTGACCACCAAAACCAGCTCCACCATGAACGACCAACATCCATGGCTGCCTCCTTCGTCTACGTCCAAACGATCACCCCGTTCCGCGACCAGCAGCATGACTGTTGTTGTTGTCGCTCCTTCTTCTTCTTTTTTCGCCATAACTGCCTCGTCGAGGTCCAGTTTGAGTTTGTCAAGGTTAAAGGGAAGGTGGGTTTTCGTTGTTCGTCGAGATCCGGTACATCGAGGTTATTTGTTCGAGTTGTCCGTTTCCGTTCGAGCTCGTCGTTGTTCCGATCCGGTTAGTTGGTTTAAGTTTTATTTCTGTCCGTATTTTGTTTAATATTCTCGGATTTGAAATCAGTATATCTTTGATTCTTTTCTTGTTCGTTGTTATCATTTCTTGATTGTTTCTTCAGTTTGTTTTATGTTCTTGTTTAGTTTTAATATAGAAGAGTGTTAGTTTAATCGCTTGA